AGTGACTCTTTTTAAAAAAAATTGTTTTAGTGAGGGGCTCTTATAAATCTCGTGACAATCCATCATTCAGTTGTATTAAGCACACTTGTGCATATGTTGCCATCAACATTTCCAAAACATTTTCTTTCTACTTGAGCCCATAGTATCAGCTCCTCTTTTTTCCCCACTCTCCCGCCCTCGTGAATCCTTGATCAATTATATATTGTTGTTATTTTGTGTCTTACACTGTCTGTTGTCTCCCTTCACCCACATTTCTGTTATTCATTCCCCTGGGGGGTAGGCTAGATATTCAAGCTTATGATGGGTTTCCCCTTTGCCCCCATCCCCCCCCCCACTATTCCTGAACGACTCTATTTTTTAGTGCTGTACATTGTTCTATATAAATGTATCATTAATTTAACTAGGAGCCCTGGTGCCATAGTGGTTATCCATTGAGCTGCAAACCCAAGGTCAGCAGTTCGAAACCACCAGCTGCTCAATGGATTTTCTCTTCCTGTAAAGAGTTACTGCCTCGAAAACCCACAGGGCAGGTCTGCCCTGTCAGAGGGTCGCTATGAGTTGATGTCGACTCAGTGGGTATGAGTTGCTGTGAAACTTTAACGGTTACATCCACCTTTTTGATATTGTAAAGAACAACTTACGAGTCAGTCTTCATGCATATCATTATTGTCTTAGGGAAACAATTTAGAAGTGGAATTTGTGGATTGATTTCACTTTTAAGACTTCTGATACATATTCCTGGTAGCTTAACTCCCTACACTTATACCAGTGCTAAGGATTGAAATTTACAAGAAAAAATTGGGACGTATGGTTAGTAGAAACAATCCAAAAAAGGGAAATGGTAGCTGAGTCTTTTTATCTTATCTGTAGAAATAAGAATTGTACTTTATTTTAAAGGCTTTTCTGTGGAGATATTTATTACTTAGTATATTGCTGTACCTTAGATTTCTATTGAGCCAGGCAATGGACCTTGCATGCATATGAAGTAGTAGGAATACCTTAGTGAAACTTAGGAGACCTTTGAACCTCTGTATTATCTGTATATGTAGGAGAGGCTTATTAAGCGATCCCTATCTCTGTATCTATGTATAGGAGTAAAATTTGTCTGTCTGGGAGCACATACAGCTAACGCACACCTTGGCCATATGAGGGAAAGTCAAAAAGTGTTGTTACTGAGGTCCCAGTCCATACAGCATGGGTTATTCTTAACAAAACCACATTAAAAC